CTCTTGGTTAGAACTCGCTGTGTCTCACATCGGTCGTGAACGACCTGCTAACCGTAGATTCAACTCAAGTAGGCGCCGTTGTCAATTCCGCACCAGCCGATCGCGATCATACTGCTACTTCCACCGCCGTTTTAGCGATGCTGCTCGCCATTGTCGTCCAGGATGTAAATACCAGAAGACGTTTTTGGATTCTCGGCAGGGAAACGACAACGCCAGCCAGTGATGGCGACAGCTGCTGCTGGCCAAACCATTAGTCGCCCCTTGTACGTTTTCGATTCTACCACCAAACCTTACTTTTTGGTTGATACTGGCGCAGAGGTAAGTGTTATACCTCGATCCTTGGAAAAACGTGCTCTGCAACCATCCGGAAATACCATACAGGCAGCTAACCAAACCAAGATCGCGACGTATGGCCACAGACTGCTAACACTTAATCGTGATCTACGACGAAATTTCACCTTCATCTTCCTGATTGCCGATGTACAGAAGCCCATCACATTGGTATTGACTTTCGCACCAAATTCGGCCTGGTCGTAGACCTGCGATGTGGCAAGCTACGAGATGGTACTACGTCGTTAAGTGTTTCCGGCCAGCTCGCTACGGTCAATTCCATTAAGCTTCAAGTGCTTCTGCCTAAAGAGTCACGCTACTCGTCATTACTGCAATAATTCCCCTCCCTGGTTAGAGCAGATGACGTCACTCTAGAGCGCAAGCACGATATCTGTCATCATATCGTCACAACCGGTCCTCCTGTGTCTGCTAGGCCAAGACGCCCTCCACCGGACAAACTACAAGCTGCCAAGAGAGTGTTCGAACACATGCTTAACCTCGGGATCATCCGCCCTTCCAACAGCTGCTGGGCATCTTCGCTTCATTTGGTGCCCAAGAAGACCAGCGATTGGAGACCATGTGGCGACTACTGTGCGCTCAACAGTGTCTGTTCCCGATAGATACCCAATTCCCCATATCCAAGATTTTTCTAGCAACTTGCACGGAAAGTCTGTTTTCTCTACAATCGACCTAGTTCGTGCATACCATCACATTCCTGTCGCTCCTGACGACATACCAAAGACCGCCATTACTAGCCCCTTCGGTCTCTATGAATTTGTCCGTATGCCCTTCGGATTGTGAAACGCTTCCCAAACTTTTCAGCGGTTCATTGATCAAGTCCTTAGAGGGCTAGACTTCGTCTTCGCCTACACTGACGACATTCTCGTCGCAGCTTCAACGACGAGGAACACCTGTCACATCTCCGTCTGACCCTCGAGCGTTTTGCTCAGTATGGCGTGACGAGTAACGTTGACAAATGTATTTTCGGCCAATCCTGTGTCGATTTTCTCGGTCACCGAATTGATCACAATGGTATTAGCCCCGTCCTCGAAAAGACGCACGCAATCGCGGATTACCCAATGTCTCAGTCCTTCAAAAGTTTGTGTCGTTTCTCCGCAATGGTCAACTATTACAATCGTTCCATTTCAGATTGTCCCGGATACTTCAACCTCTGACAGATTTACTAAAAGGCAAGTCACGTAAGTTTGAGCCAACAGCAAAAGCTACTGTGGAATTCGATAAGATCAGGCAGGCGTTATCCAACGCCACCGCGCTTAGCCACATGAAAACCGATGTTGATGCACCTCTCGTTCTCAGGACTGATGCATCACAAACTGCCGTTGGCGCCGTTTTACAGCAGCTGATCAACAACCAACCTGAACCTTTATCTTTTTTCTCCAAAAAGCCTCAGCCTGCTCAAACTCGGTACAGCACATTCGGTCGCGAACTTCTGGCTATTTACCTTGCCATTAAGCACTTTCGACATCTACTGGAAGGACGTACCTTCACTATCCTTATGGATCACAAACCGCTAGCTTTTGCCTTCCGCGGTTCCTCCAATCGATATTCACCTCGTGAGGCTCGTCATTTAAACTACATATCACAATTCACGACAGATATTCATCACGTTGATGCCACTAACAACACTGTTGCTGACGCAATGTCTCGTATCGATCTCCACCATATCTCACGCCAAGCTATTAATCTTGAGGATATTGCAGCTCACCAAGAAAACGATCCTGAGTTCGCAGACTTGAGAACCAACACTTCATTGAAACTCTCAATCGCCCATTGTTAAGTCCGATTCTAAAGCCTATTGTGACCTATCGACTGGAAAGTCAAGGCCTTTTGTTTCGCAGCAGTTCCGAAGAATTGTTTTCGATCACCTGCATGGTCTTTCCCACCCTGGCATTCGAGCCACGGTACCTTTACGAGACATTTCCACCGAAACTGTTTCGCGGACGTTCGTTGAAACCTGGATATCTGTGTTTCGCAACCCAGCCACGATAACAATAGACAGAGGTCCTCAGTTCAATTCCGCTCTCTTTCGAGACCTTAATCGTTTACTCGGCTGTTGTCACTTGCGAACAACCGCCTACCATCTAGCCGCCAACAGTCTTATTGAGCGTTTTCATCGTCAACTTAAAGCCGCAATTACGGCATTACAATCGAGCAGGCACTGGTCCGAACAGCTATCAGTTATCCTTCTCGGCATTCGCAACACGGTCAAAGAAGACCTAGGATGTTGCCCCACTGAACTGCTTTTCGGCACAACTCTCAGGCTTCCCGGTGAGATGGTGTTAGATTCCAGAATCACTGGCGAACTAGACCTGACTTCCTATTTCGTACGACTGCGACATTTTTCTTCAGTTCGGCCAACAACGTCCCGATTCAGCCCTCGAAATCAGCAAGTCCACTGATTTGCATACCTACCCTTTCGTTTTTGTGCGCGTCGATGCGGTGAGTAAACCCTTGACACGGCCGTATGAGGCCCCTTCAAAGTTCTTACTCGCAAAGAGAAATACTTCGTATTGGATAGAAACGGTTCGAAGGATTCACTGAGCCTTGATCACTTAAAACCAGCGTACGTCGAAACTAAAACATCACAACAAGCCACCGAACAGACGTTCCGCATTACCCCTCCTACCTAGCCAATGTGTGAAATCTGTGTGCCAACCTCTACATCCTCCAATGAACCAGTGAGTGAACCATACGAACCAAAGCACACATGTTCAGGACGCGCTGTTGTTTTGCCTTCTAAACTAATGACCACCAACAACACACAAGTTTCGAGCGTTCGTTCTCCCGACTCACGCTCTAGGAGGGGATTCCTGTAGTGTTTATGAATTCTTCCCATTTTTATTGTAACTTCCTATTCTATTTTCCGTCATTTTTTGTATATTTGTTTTAACTCACACAACAACGTATATTCGCATCTTCGAATTTCGTTCCTCTTCTGGGCTCGATGACGTTGTGCCACCTTCGAGGGTTGTGTATGTGCTTCGCATCGGTCGTCGGATCTCTGTTTACGGATTAGCGCTCGATTCTTCCGTTCGTGCCATCGGACAGCTTTGCTGATTTTTACCTATTGTAACCTGACCGTGAGCAATCGTGCTAAGGTCCTATTCGCCGTAAACCCTCAGCAGTTATAACTCTCTGTCAGACATTATGAGCAATTCAACCAGTATGGACTTACGCGTTGATTGGTTAAAGCAGCCTAGCACGGCTTTTAGTGGTGTTCGCAAGTTCTTAGTATCGGGATATTTCTCGTTCGCTATGTTCAAGGTGCATAAATGGCACAGTCATCAAAAGTATAACCGATACGAGGACGCATGCCCTAAGGAAATCGGTCCGATAATAGGTCCAGCATTCTGGCACGAAGATGATTCGCTTGTCTCCATGGTCGTAACCTTGGTTCAACCAATGAGTTGTCCACATTTACACTTTCAGGGTCATTGTGTAGGAGGAATTTATAAACCAATGGAATCGTCTCCTATGGAGATCGTCTTGTCTTCTCGCAAGTGTTCCTTGTTGACGTCTTTCGACTTCTGTTACGAGTCGAGCATTTAAGCTTTGAGGTCGGCACGTTTGCGATATATAGAAGGCCACAACAATCCGGACGAAGGATAGGTATAGTAAGAAATTTATCCTTCGAAAAGTCACGCAATGTTTACATGCAGATGGTGATGTGAATGATAGAAGTAATACTGCCAACTAAATAGTTAATCCGATCTACCGATTCAAATAGCAGTTTTGTTAGATTGATAATATGTTGCGCGTTGGTCTAATATTACAAGATTATGCCTCATTTTGAGGGTGCGAGTACTTGCTGATTCGTGCAGCGTTACGCAGCAGTGTCTGTATAGTAACTCAGTCAAAACTAAATGGAACAAAAGCTATACTCTAGATATGGGAGGAGGCAGAAAAGTTATTCGCAATCCTTTTGACCAAAGTTGAAAAGGGTGCTGGATAAGCTCTAAAGTAACTCCTTGGTTGCGGTCAGTTCGAAAGAAATTTTACAGTAGATTCGCACACGGTCCGAATCAAAAGTGCTCATCAAGTAACGTGAGACTATTATGAAAAGATGTTCGTTAATATGGCGACTTTCCACTACTAGTGGTCAAAGAACGTTGTTGATTTATGTGGTATCGTTTTCCAAGGTCGACTTATCGAGACAAGTCACACCAAAAGCTGGAAAATGCTATTGTATACGCGTCTCTGCCAGTAGTGCTCTTGTGTTCACTCTGGCTGATGACTCGAATACCAGCTGGTGAACTCAATATTTTCGCCCACGCAACTTGAATTGACATTTTTTTCTTTAGACGTCTTCATTAGCCCCTTTATTTATGAGCGTCATATGGAGAGAACAGCCAGTAATCAGATCCATCGCACAAAATGCGGTTAGTAACCGCTTGACAGCATGAAATGGATCTACATATTGGAAAAATCATCAATTTACTAAGTTTGCACCACTCCATACCCGATGATAAGCAATCGCCGCTCTCGGTGAGTAAGTACATCGTATCGGCGGTTTAAAAATGATCGATGGGAATATGTTGAGACCACCTAATAGATACATGGTAAAAGCTTTCAACTCGACAACTCGAGAAACAGGGTTACCCGTCTTCAGGTAACGATCACACAAATTAATGTCACAATACACAGCTTACTTGCAATACAGTTCGCGAGAGAGAACGATAAGTGATGATGTGGTTGATTCACCAGATGAGTAAAGCGATATCAGCGCGCCACACCAACTGTCTAGCTGATAAAGGTAGAATGTATATCAGAAAAAGGCATACCAGGCTTTCAGTGATAAGCATGATAGATGAATCCATGCTAAGTACAAAGTCACAAGCAGCCTTCCAGAACTCCAGTTGTCTATTCGACTTCATAACCGTAAACAAGAGAGACAAAAGTTTGATCAAAACACCAGTCGACAGAGAACTCTGTGACCTATAAAGGGTAAATTCCAAGAATTTAATGCGCACAGTATTTCTCGCTCCATTAGCGAATTGAGAAGCGTCATAACTCTCGTGGCATCAAAGGTCTTGTGCGACATGATATAGTGAAGCACGCCCGAATCCCCGATTAGAAATGCTTCCAGAAGTGAAGGAGAGAGCCTCCCTAAGCATCCGGTATCTAAAACTCTTAGTGAATCGTAATGCGAAAGCTATGACGACTTACTTCTGCAAATTATTCAAGGTCTGAGAGAGGCTGGAATCCGACGGGGCTCCTCTAAGATAGTTGGAAAGGATTGAATTCATTGTGCACTAAAGTTGAGGGAAACGTGAAAACAAAAGGATAGTTAAGAGAAACGTCAAGAAGAATATATTGCGCGTATACTGACATCGCCCCCAGGGAAAATGAAAGTAAGGTATTATTAATACGTCCGAGCCTTACAACGACGGCTGCAGCCACGCAGCTCCCAAGTGGTTACACGCCGGCAGCGATGCTGCGAGGTAACTCACAGCAGCACAGGTCCGAACCAGTGACCATTGTACTATGAGCAAAAAGCCCAAGACACTACTACCGACGAAGGAATAGTAAGGTTGGGCAACGAAACATTGAAGGTTTTGTAGCATTCCTAATGTGTCAGTTTGAGTATGAACCAAATAGGTGAATGGTGCGGACCAAACTGTACATATATTTTCGTAAATCCGTGTACTGCACTCCCGCCGTGCATCAGCGTAAATTTAACATTCTCTCAATCGGTACTGTGGAGAAACGTATTGAGCTGGAGAAGGCGATGGATGCAAGCCTGCGTGATGTGGACTGAACAGCCCCAGTGGGCGACCTGTGGCACCACATTAGCGACCAGGTGACAGCTACTGTCGAGGAGACCATCGGGCGCGCAAACTGTAAGCGTTCTGATTGGTTTGATGAGAACAATGCGACGATTGGCGCATTGGCGTCGGAGAGGAATGCAGCATTTGCTGCACATGTGGCAGACCCCAGTGATTTGGGGAAGAAGAGTCAGTTTCGCAAACTTCGACGGCGACTGACCCGGGAGCTCCGTCGCATGAAAAATGCGTGGTGGACGGAGAAGGCGAAGCAGATGGAATGCCACGCTGAACGCCGCCAACACAAGGAATTCTTTGACTCCTTGAAGGCGGTGTATGGACCAAGATTGGAGCCTCTGAGGACACTGATCGATGGTAGTTCAGGCGCTACCTGCACACAGACTGCAGACATAATGCAGATCTGGAGGAAACACTTTGACTGTCTCTTGAACAACCGTACAGAGATCGATTGGCCTAAATTGAACGGACTCAAGCAGCACGATGTGAAGGCGAGTCTGGCGGACACGGCGACATTGGATGAGACGCAGAGAGCACTTGCTCAGCTGCGAAAAGGCAAGTGTGCCGGGGCCGACAGGATACCGCCTGAAGTATTGAAACACGGTGGACCCGCGTTAGTGACTGCGCTGCACCACTTGGTGCAACGCGTATGGATTGAGAAGGAGGTGCCTCCTGAACTGAAGTATGCCCTTGTGCTACCATGTACAAGGGCAAAGGAAGCAAGCAATGTTGCACGAACTATCGTGGCATCAACTTGCGGTTGTGTGGGCAAGCTGATTGTTCGACTGCTGCTCAACCGCCTCATCAGTCAGGTTGTGGAACCTAACGTGGCGGAAGAGCAACGTGGATTACGCTCGGGCCGCAGCACCATAGATATGGTGTTTGCGGCTCGTCAGTTGCAGGAGAAGTGCAAAGAGCGACGCCAGCCGTTGTATTCGCCGTTTGTTGATCTCACCAAAGCATATGATACGGGGAACCGCGAAGCATTGTGGCTGGTGTTGGGTAAGTTTGGTTGCCCGCGTAAGTTTGTAAGTCTAATTGAATGTGCACAGCGGCATGCGAGCGAGGGTACAGTTGAGTGGAGAGACCTCGGATGACTTTGCAGTTGTCTCTGGTGTGAAGCAAGGCTGTGTCTTGGCTCCTGCCCTGTTTAATATATATCTTCATGCAATGATGTCTTGTGCATTTGATGCCTTTTGATGTGCTTACAGTGTTCGTGTGGAGCACCGCATTGATGGTGGGTTGCTGAACATCCATCGTTTCGGTGCGAGAACTCTAGTCTGTGAGACAACTATCCGTAGTTTGCTGTTTGCTGACGACTGTGCGTTGTTTGAACACAGCGCGGATGAGTTGCAGCACATGACTAGTGCTCTGGCTTCGACAGCGACCAAATTCGGGCTCACCATCAACACAAGCAAAACTGTCTGTCTCTTTCAGCCTTCACCGGAGGTACAATCTCCAATAGTGCCGCGAATCAGCATTGGTGCTGAAGTATTGGAAACCACCTCCCGCTTCTTCCACCTTTGGAGTGTGATGTCGACTGATCAGCAGCTACACAGTGAGCTGCGTATCCGCGTGTCGAAGGCAGCGGCGGCATTCGGGAAGCTAGAGTACCGAGTGTGGAACCACCATCGGCTTGCCATTGGCACAAAGCTGATTGTGTACAAATCCATGGTGCTGTCCGTTCTTCTATATGGCATCATCATCATCATCATTATACATGTCAGCTAGAGGTGGTGAAACACCTCCGCTATTGTACCGCAATACATAAAGGAAATACATACATACAATACATAAAGGAAAAATAAATACGACAGTTGCATGCCAGCTGAGCTACCAGCAACGGATAGGCATCGTTCCGGTAAGCTACCAGCCAGCTACTAGGCAAAAAAAAAATTTATTATGTTTTACCCTACGAAATGAGATCGTAGATGGAGGGGGAGGCTAAAAGGGATGGGGAGGGACAAAGAAACTCACAGCAGGAACGCCACTGAGGTCGGCTCCTTGCCATGTCAGCAAGTGTATCCAGCCAAACGTGTTCACCGTCTTTTGGACCCCAACCAGGGAGCCGTGAAGCTCCAACCGAGGCTAGCTCCGAAGTGAGGGACTTCATTCCTCTGGACCAAGTCATCGCTTGGCCACCTCTCCTCTTCTTCCACCCACATCCCCGGTGAGCAAACAACGCACGTCGAGGGAGTCGGTGGGCTGGCATGCGTAACACGTGGCCGAGCCATCGGAGCCTGGTGCGAGAAATAACGGTGCTGAGCGGTTCATTCCCTTTTTCTGGGCCGTAAACAAGGCGTCGAACACGCTCGTTACTCACGCGGTGTTCCCACCAGATGTGAGCCAAACTGCGAAGGCACCGATGGTCGAACGTAACTAGCCTCTTTATGTCCGCCGATCTTAGGGGCCAGGTTTCGCAACCGTACAGTAAGGTCGAACGTACCGCTGCATTGTACACTCTACCCTTCAGGGCGAGAGTAATGTCGCGCCGCCGCCATAGGTGGCGAAGGTTAGCAAAAGCACTTCGAGCTTTCGCTATACGGTTCGTGATCTCGTCTTCGATCCCAAGGGCGCTGATACAACTTCCCAGGTAATTGAATTTCTGAACGACTTCTAGCTGATCCCCACCAAGGGTCAGCACAGGGGGCGATCCCTGCCAATCTTGGAGGAACGCTTTGCACTTCGGTGGTGCAAAGCAAAGCCCGAAGCGACTGACAGCCAGTGCTAATCTGTCCAGCGCGGCTTGGCACGTCTGGGAGCTGTCACAGATGAGGGCAATGTCGTCTGCATACTCCAAGTCAAGAAGTCGTTCTCCTGGGAGTAGCTCCACACCTTCCAAGTCATGTCCTGTAAATGCAATCTCCATGACTTCGTCAATAGCGAAGTTGAAGAGGAAAGGTGACAGCGGGCATCCTTGTCTCACACCGCTGGAGATATTGAAGGGTGGCGACAGCTTGCCGTAAGCCCTCACTCTGCCCGTGCTACGCGCATATAATGCTTGGATAATATTTACATATTTCTCGGGCACACCTTTCCTGAGTAGACAATTCCAAAGGGCACATCGATCAACCGAATCGAAGGCACCTTTGATGTCGAGGAACACGACTACGGTGGGCCGCCAATATGTGTGACGGTGCTCCAACAACTGACGCAAGGTGAAGATGTGGTCGATGCAGCCACGACCTCGACGAAACCCGGCTTGCTCCTCACGAATCTGGCTTTCACGAGCGCCAGTCAGTCTGTGAAGAATTATGGAGGCGAGTAATTTGGAGGCGATGGAGATCAGACTGATTCCTCTATGGTTGCCGCATTCCGAGCGCGAGCCGCCTTTGAAGATGGGAACAATAACGGAGCGGCTCCAGTCGGTTGGGACAATCTCCTGCTCCCACAGTTTCACTAGTAATTCATGTAAAGCATCAACAAGAGCAGAGCCTCCGAATTTGAAGAGGGCTGGAGGAAGATCATCTGGTCCCGCGGCTTTGTTCAACTTCAACAGTCCGATCTCACGTTCGACTTCTGAGCGAGAGGGTGGATCCAAAGGGACAGCCCACGGAGCAGGGCGATCAGTGACCGGCGAATCGAACAATTCTAGCCGATTAAATTGCTTTTCAAAATGCTCAGCCCAACGCTCCAAACGTTTTGACAAATTGTGGATAGGCTGTCCATTCTCATCACAAATTGTTTCACTAACACCAGGTCTCCTGCTGCCCGTTTCCCGTATCAGACGGAATAACTTACGATGGTTGCCAAGGGCAGCGGCCACTTCCATCTCTGACGCACGAACAGACCACCAAGATTCGCGGTCTCTCTTCAGGCTAGCACGGAGTTTTGCCCGGAGCTCTTTGCGAGTTTCATTGTGTTCACTTCCAGCCGGGATATGCCGGCGAGCGTCGATAAGTTCCAGAGACCGAGAAGAGACCCAATGTCCATGTTGGCTATTAGACATACCACATGAGGATTTGCCTGCTGCTAGTAAGGTCTGGTGAACATGTGACCAGTGACCATCAATTGTCTCCAGTGAGCGCTTACTCAAC